CAAAGTCACCAACTCCAGAAACCTGAGTCCCAAACTGTTGGAGGCTGAATATATTCTAAAGGAGCATCACTATGATTTGTGATATCTGTATTCTCCATTATGCCACCTCCACTGAACCCTACCCCAAGCTGAGGTGCTGAATTAAATGACTCCTTGATCCAACTTGGTAGTGCTATTCTTAGATAGCATTTTTTTCAACACTTCAAGATATTATTTCGTACTTGATTTGGATTCTCACACTAATGTGTTATGAAGAGAGAGGGCAAAACTGTATTTAGATAATACTTACTGAGACAACAGTTTTACGTACAAAGTGTACTTAATTCAGCCACTTTTACATACAAGAACACAACGTCTGGTATGGAAAGCCTGAACAAATACTCAGGCTTTCTGCAATTAATTTTGTACCCACTCTGAGAGTGCTCATAGCTTCTAATCTCCCCTCAAACCAGTATAATGCCGTATGTTTTTTGGTGCTTCTTAAAGAACAAGTAGTTCTTTAAGATACTTTTCCAATGAGGCATTAAGAAAAAACAATTTAAAGTTCTGAAGTAACAATTACTGCTGCACATCATGAGCTGCTTAGTACTAACAAGTTCTCAAGGCTTAGCTAAACTTAATTCGTTACTAAGGGCTAATGCAAAACAGTAGTTCAGAAACTGTTCCAAAAAGGCTAAGACGTTATTTCTGTTGCTCCTGAAAGGATCACCCAGAAGAGATTTTTAAGATTACTCCTCCTTTGGGATCCTGGTGACATCAGCCAAACAGGCTGTGTTATCACTCACCTGAAGACAGGAGCTGATACCTCATGACAGTCTATTAAAAAGGAAAGCATAACTGAGTTTATTTTATCCTACAGCTACAGATCTTGACTCCTGTGGTAGCTTAGCTGTACATTTTGTGCAACTGATGATAAGAAACAATAAAGCCCTTACCCTGAAAACACATGCTTATTTTACTTTTTTTTATTTTTGAAATTAAGACAAAATGAGCAATCTCAGGATCTGGCTGTACCATCTGCAATGAGATAAAAAAAAAAATAAAAATTGATGAACTCAATTCTCAGTATTACAAAGGGAACATGTTGCTTTGTGCTGGCCTCTACCAATTAGATGCAAACATCAGAGAAATATCATCACCTTCAGTGGTCCCCAGGTTCCTGTATTTAGTTACCACAGACACAATTAGAAGATCATCCTCAGACTGTTTCAGTTCTACCCCTACTGGGTTTTTAAATCTTTGCCAATATGCAGATATTGGATATAATGGAGTTAGCCAGAAAGTTTTTCTCTGTGAAGATTAAACTACAACATAAACATATGACAAGGACTAGTGGAATTTCTCCAGCAATTTGCAATTGCCCCCCACGTAGCTACTGCAAGGTCATTATAGGCCATATCCTGCAGAGAGAGAGTAAAAACCTGCCAAGTTTCTGGTATAATACTAGAACTACAAGAACAGTAGATAGAAAGCTATGTGGAAGGTACAGTTTTTGGATCATGTAGATATATTACGCAGCTGGAAACCTTAAACTAGCAAGTAGAGCAGAGTGGGGACTTCCAGGTTTGTTCTGGACACAGTGCTGCTGCTTTTGTGAGCTACTGCACCCGTGCTGGGAAGGCGGGCCAGGAAGCCCAGCCAAAAGGGCAAATTGCCACTTGCAGGCCCTCCCAGCTTCTGCAGACCCAGCTCAGATGTGCCAGGATCACAATACTGAGCTGCTCCCACGGTCAGAGTGCGCAGACCTACCCTGGGACCCACAGCTTGAGAGCTGTAGATGTATGTACTCTGTTTCCTGTACAGAAACTCTGGATTCCTCTACGGATCATACTTGGATTACTTCATATTAATATATGAAATAAACCTCTGGCATTCTCCTCCAAACAGGATTGTTTCACTTCTAACACAAGCAATGAGCAAGAAAATCTCATTCCTCACTGGTAGTGAAAACAGTGACACGAAAAGCAGTCTGGACAAAACCCAGCCCCAGAGCACCCTGGCACATGAGCAGCGACTGGAGCCCAGGAGTCTGGTGTTCATTCAAACCTCTAACACGTGATATACCCACCACCCTTAACACAGGACTTTCAGGGGTGCACTACCTTGGCACTGAAGTTGCTAAACCAAGCCTTATCATGAGAGGCCTGGATTTTAAAGTAAACTCCTCAGGTAGGGAGATACTGGGGTGGAGGGAAGAACGATGAAAAGAGGGAGGGAGGGAGGAGGAAAGAAGCAAAGGTTGTACCACTTTATCTCCTTTATCCTGGGAAAATGAAAGCATTACAGCTGTTTCTCAGAGGCCTGGAAAAGCTGGTGGTTATCAACAGAAATCTAACTCACGTCAGAGCTGGGTAGATCACATTTATTCCCAGCTGAAAACTAACTCACAGGCAAGTTTTAAACAGCCTTCATTTCTGTTAACAAAAAATGCCCGAGCAACAAGAACACCCAACAGCAGAGCACTGGAACATTTGTTATGTGATACGCCTCTCACCTCAGTGCAATAGTAATCTGCTGTGTCCATCACACAGAGATATAATTACCCTACACAAAAGGCAGCATTTGAACCATGGTGATTTTTGCTAAATCAAAAGACTAAGAGGCTGGACAACAAGAAATTGAGAGAGAAACCAGCTGAAAAATAAAACCAGACAAACGGGTCCTGCATTAACTTGTGACCTACAATAAACAGGTATCTGAGCACAAAATTAATCAGCTTTTACTCTAAGGATATTTACCTAATTTCCACTTTGCAGCCACAATCAGCTATATAAAACCACAGTATGATGCACTAACATTAAGGCTTTGGATGCTGGCCATGAAATAACAGCTAGAGCCTGAAACCAAAGAATACTGATACTAAGATATTACCGTTACCATCAAAGAAAACACATATATGTCACAAGCCTGACAAGTACTTGTGGAAAAATGTTGGAAAAATCTCCTTCACACATTCCCTCATGTTTGTTTTTCCTTATTTTAAACCTCACAGTTGCAAACCCTACCTATGAGAGAAAGAAAAGCCCCAGGATTTTCACAATCAAGGAGTTACATCATGAAATAACATCTTGCAACCTTTAAATGCTTCTCCTTTTGACCTTTGTGATTTAAAGTGCACTATGCTAGGAAAAAAAAGAAGCCAAAAGCGTGACCCTCTGTTTCAAACTCTCTGAAAAGAACAGGTTGCAATATTGCAAGGTCAAGCAGGTGGTTCCCTTGATTCGGTAGTCTGGTAGCTCTGGGGTTTGGCACAGGAGCAAATAACACTATCACTCAGCAGCCACTGAGTCCCACTCTGGGAAAGAAGCGCTGGCGTGGCTTTCTCCCGACCATTTCTGCCCAAAAGACAACTCAAAGAAGCCAGACAAATCTTTCTTTTCATTTTAAATTAACTGCACACCAGGAAAAATTAAAGGTCACTCTTAATGGACAGCCAAAGTAAAAGGCTTCAGAACAAACTACATAGGTGAACATATTAAATATCAACTCCTCTTTCTGAAAAAAACTAACAAATCCACATAAATATGCTCTGGTTGTCAATGCCATTAAACATGCCACCTTTTAGTCCAATTTATCCTCATTAACAATGAACTGGAGAAAGAATTACTCAGAATATTGATTCTGCCCATACCTTTTACCTCTGAGTAATGTTTCAAAAAAGTCTGAACCAGTTAGTGTTAAAACACTCTCCTTAATAAAATAAAGGAAAACAAACTCTTGAACAACATTCCTGAAAACATGAGTAGTGATAATTTTAGGATAAATTATACCATAAACAAATGATAAATATTTCTGGTACCCAGAAACACATTTACACAATTCTGTGAACTCATTTATTATTTAGTTTTATTGAAAAGAACTGTAAATAAAATCAGCAGTACAGCAGCTGTGTTTCTTCTCTGTATGTGTGACCTTGGAAGAAAGAATCAACAGGGCTGTGTTAATGGTAGGACTGGATGATCTTAGAAGTATTTTCCAACCGACAATTCCACGTATAACTGCAGCTGACAGAAAACTGTAATGTACGTTCAGTTAAGGTGTGTAAAAACAGGACCTTTAAACAATCTAAAGCATTAATTAACATTTACCATTGTTATACAATACCTTTCTGAATTATTCACTGAGAAACTTAATATACATAGAAGTATCCCTGCTATACAAGGTTTTTTCTCCAAGATAAAATTATTGCAAACCACATTCCTTAAAAAGGAGTCTAGCAACAAAAGCTAAATAAAGGGGAAAAAGGGCTTCCCGCAGCATTCTTATTTAACAGCTTTGTACGGCAAATTTAAAGAAGTGAAATATCCATTTCTGCCAATGTTTAAAAGAATCAAAACCCCAAAAGCTTGACCACAAAATTAATGACACCAAATGTAAGATCTAGACATTTTCAATTAAAATAAGTCACTGGGTTATAGCAAGCAAAACCAGCTCTTTTTAGATGACAAATAGGCATAGGAACTACATTCCAATTGCCAAAATCTGATGGCAGAGAGGCTGATTGATTAGCCAACTGACTGCTGAGGACATTTTTCTTTTAATTCAGAACCAGAAATAGAGAAAAAGTTAGGGTTTTTTTCTGAAACCTCTGCTTATTAAGAAGCCAGAATACCTCATTCTCCAGGAGTTAAAGACCATCTCTATATGTAGAGGCCTCCTCAGCTCCCTTGCTCAGGTGCACATCCTGACTAGGTCCTGGCTACATGTCTAGAGAACGTTTCTGTTTCATATATCACGTACTTCCACATGCCCGGATTTGCTCTGGAGACTTACTTTACTGATATGGAAACAGAATTTATGGGGTATTCCTATCCTGGGGAAGAAACAGGTACCAGAACTAGAGCTCATCTGTCCTTTGTTGAGACAAATCAAGGCACAGAAAATGACTCTGTGTTTGTGGGAAGCACCCACTAAATGCCTGAGGATGAGCATACAAACACTGAAATTCCTGTATGATTAACAAACCTCACAGAAGACAGAAAACATAAAAAAAGTACTACCTTCTTTTCAGTGGTGCTTGAAGTCTTTGATACTAACGCTGTTTCAACAAGACCCTGCTCAAGTAAGGAGTCATATTTTATGCTTCTTTTTCTGCTTCTCCTCTCTTTGTTTGCTGGCTTTTGTTCATTTTCCTCCGACTGAGACACATCTGCACCATTGTCTCCACAAATGGAGGATTCGAAAAGAGGCTTCCCATTCATGTAGGTTTTAGTGATTTTCAGCTTTATTTCTGGAGAACCATTCTTGATAGGAGTAGTGCTGGGGGGTGTTCCAACTCCCTTTATTTCCTGAGGTTCAAAGCGCAGCTTGGCATCTTGGGCCCCGGACTCGCCATTAAACACCCGAGAGGTCAGATCTTTCAATTTATCTGCTGGAATAAATGGAAGAGTCTCATGGCCATTATATTTTTGCATGACACCTTCCTGTAGAGTGGCAGAAAGTTGTGCTTTGCCCAAGTAGACAGAACATTCACGATTCACTTCACAATTCTGAGGTTTCCCATTGGTATTTCCAAGGATCTCTGGTACCTGCTTCATTTTGATGTAGTTAATTTTTTGAGTTAACAGTTGAGAACTTCTTTTGATGCTAAAGTCCATTCAGCCCAGATGTTTCCAGTCTTACACTGCTATATTAAGACAAAAAGACAGAAAGTATGTTTAATAAGAAATGTCAAAAGCTATAAAGTATTCAGATAGACATCAGCACTAATATAAAACTCAATATACTTCATTAGTTTTACTAAAAAAGCTTTGTTTATAATCTTCAGAGGCAAAATGCCTTAATATCTGTTAGTATGCATTACAAAAAAAGTCCAAGGAGAACAGCTCTATGAATCATCAATTTTATTAAATCAAAAGTGGAAAGCAAAATCACAGCTTGCACTTTAACCATTTGTTAACCATCTACAGCACGGATGTTACCTACAATAATTACACAAAGGTACCGCACTATATGAAACAAGTAAGAGGTTAGACCTACAATAATATCACTAGTAACAACGTAAACCAAATGAGTTTATCTCCAAGAGGTTGTGCCAGCATAAAAACCCCACAGGCTGTGTTCCTGTAGCACCTACACTATGGACAGCAGCATTACAAGCTTCCCTTCCTCACTCCACAAACAGACCTTCAACCTCCCATCAAAACACACCCCTGGCAGCAACACTACAGCTCAGTCTCCAGACATTTCCCAAAGCATTCTGTCCACCAGAACGAATAAAGGGTCAGCCTTTTGGGCCAGGAACACCAGCCCACTGGGAAATAGCAAATCCTTCAGGCTAGTGATCATACTGGGCAAAATTTAAATTATCAAAGCAACTGCTGGAACTTCAGACTTTTCATGGCAACGATATTATCTAACACCCACTTTTCATACAGAAATGTGCAAACAAGCAAGCTAAAAATGCACTATTTTCTGCCCTAAACAGGTTCTCTAAGGGTTCTAAAAGCTAATCTTGCCTATTGCAACATTATAACATCATAGCAAACAAATCAAACTGGCAGAATCACTCCTTTGTGCTCCTAAACCAGGCAGGATGATGGTTTCAATTTTTGAAATTCACATGCATAGATTCTTCATATTACTGGGTCCAGTATATACATCATATAGAAAAAAAAATATTATTAAAGCTGAGCATAATAATAATAATAATCATATCCATGCTCAAGGTAACCAATTTCATATATGATTAAGTCCAAGGACTGTCACATCAAATCAAAATTTCATCAAATCTAGTCTCATGTGCTTACAAAAAAGTGCAGTAAAACCCATGATGAATAACTATTGAATTGTCAGTTGCTATGGAAGAAATCACTTCTGAATCTCACCTTGTTTATTAATGCACACAGTTCTAATGCTTACAACCGCCATATTCCTCCAACTTGCATTTCTGATAGCTCTACATCAGGAGTAGCAACGTAAACATGTTCATAACTGAGCACTGCTGTAGCCTGGCAAAGCTTCTTAGGGATGTCAAGCCTGAATTCAAAGCAGCTGATGAACATGAAACCTTTTCATTTACAAAAATGCAGAAAAAAAAAATTAAAAATCATAACTCCATCACTCCTTAGCAAATGCTCCCATCTCCCTAACATGCTGCTCTAAAATATCTGCAAGATAAAAGTGTATCTTTCCACACAAGCTATATAGACTCATTTGAGAGATGAAAACCCTTCTCTTGCCAGGCACAAACAGCAGTCTGAAAATCTGGCATTAAACAAGGCAAGAACAGCAAAAGTGTACCTGAACTCCAAGTGAACCTGCAAGAGAAAAAGTCCTATTCTTTCTTTAGTGAGAAGAAGTCTGAATTACCAATAAAATCTCTGACAAAATGAGTAGAAAGCAGCCAGCTATATTAACTCTCCTTAAGAGGAATCAGAGATAAATGGAAACTCAAAACTCAACCAGAACAGAATAAATTACTAAACTGAAAGAGAATTCATGGCCTTTCACAACATCTTCCCTAAAAACATGGACACAAGACAAACTCTCGTGTCATGTAACATGACAGTGTTTCAAGCTGTGATTCAGCAGGCTTAAATGAAATCATATTTCTCTTAAGAAACAACTGATGACAAATTCTGTAAATCTCTGGTCAAAAGGCAAACCTGCTGGGAAGCACGTCACGCAGTTACAGAATGCAAAACTCCTTATAAAAACCGCCAAAACCAAGAAGAAAACAACCAAAACACCGAACTGTTGCTAAATCTGTACTTCATTCCCAGGGATTCTTAACGGAGTAAACCAGAGGTCTGCTTTGGGCATTTAAGCTCCGAATTCCCTCGGAGGCAGCAGAGCGGCTTCGTGCGGCCGCGGCGCCCTCCAGTGGGCGCGGGGCTCGGCGAGCAGCAGCTCCGGGACGGCTCCGGGACCCGCTCATCGTGGATCCCTGGATCGGGCCATCCGCCTTTTGGAACCCACGGCTTGTTCCGTGCTGCTCGATCATAGCTTTTGTTCTCATCACGTACGTTTTGCAGCTACAAAGCCATCAAGCTGGAGGTGCACCTCCAAAAAAAGCAGTAAAAAATCCAGTTAGACTGTGTTACTGGTGCGCTCGATCTCAGGGCAGTGGATGAATTAAAATGGATATCTTAAGAATGTCAAAACATAAAAATCGTCATAGTCACTGAATAAAGCTGGAAGGGTTCCTCAGATCATCTATTCCAACCCCTTGCTTAAGCCAGATCAAACTTTTCAAGGCCTTTTCTGAACAATCACCCCTAGATAACCAAGTTAAAAGCTATGGCTTAAAAAAAATCAAGTTATTCTCTTTCTAGCTAAAAAAAAAAAAAAAAAAACACAAAAACAAACCAACAAGGCCACGCAGTGAAAGACCCAGAACATTTAGGATTTAGCTTGATTTTCCCAATCTATATGAAGACAAACAGACTTCAAGAATTTCAGTGAGTGGAAGTTTAGTTAATGATTCTCACTAATACAGGTCACTAAGAACAGCTGAAAGCAATGAGAAAGGCTCCTCAAACCACTGGAGTCTAGCGACAACAAATCCAGGAGTAACACTGGTAAAAGGAAGTTAATGTATCCACAACAATAGTAAATGGGAAAATGAAGACAAACACAGTAATTTGAAACTGTAAGATATCAGAACCAGGAGCTACAGATTATAAAACATGTAAAACAGACTGTGTTTGTACAAAGATTTAATAGAACCAAATGAGTAGAGGCTTAAAGTAAGAAGCAGAATAATGGGCTAAGATAACAGATGTGAGTACCTGACAGAAAATAAAATCCCATGGGGAGATGAGACATGTAGACAGCAATTTGCAGGTTAGTCACCATCTCTAGGACAACCAGTGGGATCAAAATCAGTGACACAAATCTCAGTCCTCCTTGCAAAAAAATAAACCACATTGTGGGGTCAGCTTAAATGAAAGAAGTTAGAAAATCTACACATGGGAATAACAAAGGGTTTCAGGAAAGAAGATAAAAAGTTGAAGCCAGGTACATTTTGCACCACCTTTACTATACACTATTTCACTTCACTATAAGGAAGAAAAAGGACCAGGCCCTTTGTGAGAAGAGGACAGAGCGGAAAAGAAGGGGCAAGGAGAAAACAACCACAACCAAGCAGTGCTGCTGTGAGTTTGGAATTTATGCAAGGAGATCTAGAAGACAAGAAGAATACAAGACATGAAAGAATGAAGTAAGATAGATCACAGACAAGATCTGGTTCGTTCAAATTTTAAGAGTAAGGTCCTGAAGCATCTGAGCATACAATTCGATTTGGTAGCTAAAATCAAGTGCACTCATGCTGGACCATGGTATCAGAAAAGCAAAAGCAATCTCTTATCTTTTTCTAGATGACTCTGTATCTATTGAAAAGGAAAGTGGGGGGAGGGCAGGGAAAAGAAGGGGACAAAAGCACCACACGCTAGTAGCAGCTAATGAGCTTAAGCCAGTATCGTCCCATATTGAATGTCTGGTGACCCAACAAGTACCATTTTCACTAACAAAGGAGAAAAAAACATTATAACCAGGAGTCTGATGAATAAACATGATAATTTGGCTTGTGAACAAATAGCTTTCAGTATGCAAAAGCAGATTTCTTATCAGACAAAGGTCTATAGAATTTTTAATCAGACAATGACAACTGGACAATCCTTGCAGTGGCTTTGTACATATTTTCATACTAAAAAAAACAGGTTCTATATAAGGCATACTATCTTGCAGACATTTTAATTCACATATTAATTACTTGAAAGTTCATCATCTGACAGGAGTCATGAGCCAAATACAGTTACTGTGCATGTCAGATCCCTCCTTCACTGCCCAGGCCACTATCATTTATGTGATATTTTTTAGTCATTTATTCCACATCTGCTGTAATTTCAGAGATGCTTTTCTGGTGTGTCAGAAATAATGGAGTACTCCATTCCTTTCAATTCTGCCAAAGGGAGGGAACTAAGTAACTACCAACAAGCATCTCTATTACCTATCACTTTAGTTTTGTCTAAGGGTTTTCTTACTCTGGTAAGAATTACTCAGGGCAGGCAGTGGAGGTGGGGGAAAGAAGAAGATGAGGATGACACATCTCAATACAAATTCAGAGTAAGAAACTTTATCCACAAAAGCTATTTTTATTACCTACAGATCGGGCTTTCAGCTGGCATAAAAAAGCTAATAGGTGTCTGCTGTTTTTTTGTGTTAAGATTGCTTTCTGATAAGTGTTCTCCATTGTCTCATCAATTTTAAGACAAACGTTATTCCTATTTTCAGATCAGAATGAGAGAAAACACTTAATGATATTAAGGTTACAACACCTTTTTGCTAATACATTTGAAAACTTGAGTATGGTTACTCATATTATCTTGTGTAAAACCCCTAAAATATCAAACAGGAGTAGATAAGTATTTACTATCGTGTAGTACACTGCAGCTGTTCTTCACTACATTAGAACAATGAAAAATTACTACAGGATCTAAACAGAATTTTATTTTAGAAGAAAATACAACTAAAAATTGCACTGCATGTTTGGCCAAAAGCTGTCACAAACCAGTTCTAGCCAGAAAATTCAAAAGCATTAGCTCCCCTAAAGAAAATCTTTACTATAGTAGTTGAGATAGAATTGAAAATAAATATACCCAATCTTTCTAAAAATTTACCACAAG